CCACTTGAGAGACAGCCCAGAAGCGGGCCTGCCTACAGTTCACTGCTCGCTGACAGCCCTGAGATGGAATCATAAAAGTCAATTAATCATTAAAAGCTGTTACAAGCACATATCGAACCAGTCTGGCACAAAATGTTAATCAGTCCAATATCAATATAATAAATTCCCACAAATTGGAGCGATCGATACATTTAGGACCTAATGAATCAATCGGGGGATGCCGGGCTGCTCCTTGGGGTCCCGGTGACATGGCAGCCAGGCAAGTGCGACGTCTCTAGGCTCACTGCCAACAGAGGTCACCTCTCCTAACAGGCTGTTCACTTCAGCCGCAGTTACCACGGTGACAGCATGTCACCGCTGCCCCAGTGTCCTTCTAGGTGAGCTGGAAACCAATGCATCACTACCCTTGATGGATTTGTCAATAATACTTAGCAGGGGAGGGGGGCCCGCTCACACAGCCCTCGCAGGTCCGAGTCCCCCGGCAGTTTGGTGTGATTTAATTGTCTGAAGAGGCTTGTGCGTCTGCATATATGCAGCAGCTAACCGGGGGTCACAGGAGGAGGGAGGTGGCAGGCCTGCCGGCTGCATTCAGAAGCCTTGGGAACCTGGCGCAGGCAGGAGCCATGGCCAGGCTGGTGTTACATTAACCAGGTCGCCGTGGAAGTGAGAAGTCATCTGGAGCCTCTCGGATGGAGAATTTATTAGCTACAAAATTTTAATACATTACTCATGAGTGGAAACGGAGTCAGGCATTAATCCCTGCCGGCTGAAGCTCTGAGCCCAGATGCCTGCTGACGGGCGGTGGACTGTCGCCAGGAAAAAAAGTCCATCAGGATCAATTATGGGGCAGCTGGACTAATGGGTGGGGGTCTCTGGCATGCCCTGTCTCTCTCTCCCCACCCTCTCATTCCACCTATCACCTGCAAGCTCCCTCTCACCCAGACAGACCCAGGAGTCCTAAAGCTGGATGCAGACAGGACACACACGAGGTTTTCCACCAGCCTCTTCATCCTCTGCTTCTAAAAACCAGAGTTTTCCAGTTTCAAACCATTTTATCTTTTGCTGTGCCTGTGACAGGGCTTCTTGGGTGGCTTAGCGCTAAAAGTCCGCCTCCCAGTGCAGGTGACTCGGGTTCAATCTCTGGGTCAGAAAGATCCCCTGGAGAAGGGCATGGCAACCCACTCCAGTATTCTTACCTGGAGAATCCCATGGACAGAGGAGCCTAGCGGGTTACAGTCCATGGGGCCACATAGAGTTGGACACGGCTGAGCAACTAAACAGAAACAACAACAAACATGCCTATTAAAACTGACCAGTGAAGGGGCCCAGGAGCAACTTCCACGTTGCAGAGTAAAAGGAAACCTCTTTAGAGATAAAAGAAACGTTCGCTACGGAGACTCCGGGGAATCATAGTGTTCCAGAAACTTCACTGTCATTTAACATAAAACATAAAGGTTAACACTGAATAAAATAATATCCTGGCTGATCATTCTAATGGTCTCCAAGTCCAGCTTCTTTTCCTGGGTTGCTGTTCCGTAAAACATGGACCAGAGTTGCTTCCGATGTTTTTAAAATATGTGCCTGCTACACCAGTGGGATGATCTCATTCAATTTCATCCCCAGCAGTTTCTGGGTGTGTCTCTCTTACAGTCACTCATTCCCTTCTAGAAAAATAGAAGCAATCCCAGCCAAAGAAATGTTCATTTCCACTAGCCTGTTATTTTTAAAGATTTTTTTCTTACCTGCTTTGAAAAAAAAAAAGAGGACAAAAAAATCATTTTTTCTAACGGTGGTCTGAATTATAGGAAACATCAAAATAAATTACAAATTCCACGCTAAAGAAATAACTATTCACACATTGAGACAGGGTGGTGTTCAGGGTGTGCAGACAAAGGTAATACAGTGACTTCGCTTAATTGCCCTGACACTGCGCTCCGTTCCTCCAGCTATGATCTGAGAGCTAAAAATCTCTCATTGTTATTAATTGTATTCCTTTTAGAATGTAATGTCATATCGCTCCAGGCTGAGCTAATGAAACATACCCATATTACCAAAATAGGCATATTTCTTTTTGTTCTATGCATTCTATCAAAACTGTCTACCAAAGACATTGTGTTAAAAAAAATCCTTTCACAGAGCCAGAGAAAGAATATCTCAACTACCTCAACGTTTCTATTACATGATTACTAAAATGCCCAGGAGGACGAAACAATATAGTAGGAATCCAGTTATCCTAGAAGACTTAAGAAGTATCGCTAATTCCTGTGCCTGATTTATGTTAATATTAATGCTAGGTTACACGCTCTGGCTTCTGACTGCATTCCAATTCACACAAAGGCGGGCGCTCCCCTGCACCGCCGCCCCGCGCCTCTATTCTAATGAGAATCTGAATTATTTATCTCTATTTATCCTACAGGAGTTCACTCGACCCCGGTCCCATTTTCTTTGCCGACTGCGCATCAATGCGTGTAAACATGACTTCAGAGCTGTCCTTTTCCAGCCATGAGGCACGGCGATAGACAGTAGTCAAAAATGTTGTGCCACTAACAGAATTCATTTAAGCATCGATTCGAGGTAAACTCTCCTAATTAAGTCAACTTTAACACAGACATGCAAATGGCCGCTTGCATAGGCATCTGGCGCCTAACGACGTCTGGGGAGCCCACAAGAATCGGGAGAGACAGGCCAAGGAGACGGTTAATAAATTCCATCTCTCCTTTCTGTAACCTCTCTGCTGGAAAACCAGTTGTCAGGGGGGACTCAGAGGTCCTGGGGGCACAGAGGGCTTCTCGTTCCTTGCTCGATTTTCAACTAGGCCCAGTGGGTGGCCAAATACTTCCTCTGGGTCCCACTTGCCCAAGGATTTGTAGAAGGGCTGCAGGGGAATGGAATGGTTGGAAATCGTAGGGAGGATTTGGCCTCAAGGCTATGGAGTGGTGTGTGACTTGGCATTCTCTAGAGAAACAGAAACAGTGGGGACACACACACACACCTAAAGATTTTTTATAAGGAACTGGCTCATACAAATATGGATGCTGCAAACCTGGAGGGCCAATGGGGTTGTTTCCTGTCCAAGTCCCAAGACCTGAGATCTAGGGAAGCCAGAGGCAGAAGTCCCCGTCCGAGGGCCAGAGAAGACCCACGTCCCACTTCAAGCTGTCAGGCAGACAGAGAGCATGAATTCTCTCTTCCTCCAGCTCGTGTTGTCTTCATGCCCCTAGTGGATCAGATGATGTCCACTCACATCAGGGAGGGCCGGTTGCTTCATTCAGTCCATCAGTTCAAACGTTCATCTTATCCAAGAACATCCTCCCGGAGACACATCAAGAAATAACATTTTACCAGCTCTCTGGACTTCCCTTGTTGTTCAGTCACTCAGTCGTGTGTTACTCTTTGTGACCCATGGACTGCAGCACGCCAGGCTTCCGTGTCCTTTACCATGTCCTGAAGTCTGCTCAAACTCACATCCATTGAGTCAGTGGTACGGTCCAAGCATCTCATCCTCTGTCGCCCCTTCTCCTCCTACCCTCAGTCTTTCCCAGTCTCCTTTGACTGAGTCAAATTGACCCATAAAATTAAGTATCACGAATGCCTCAGCCTCCTGAGGCGGGGCAATTCCTGAGGGCCTGGAGGATGAAATAGGATGGATGGGGAGTTGCAGTAATGATGGGACAAAGCTTTACAAAAGTGGTGTTTCTGTCAGAAGAAGAGTGGTTGTCTGCGACTGGGATTCTCCACTTTCAGGGTGCCTAACAGAACATTACCGAAATGCTTTCCACCCTCTGTTGTTGAGGGGATGTCCCAGAGCTGGTGACTTTGGGCTCATTATTGTAAGTTGAACGATTATCTGAGCCCAGTGAGTAGAGTCTGTCTGATACCACTGACAGGTCCAGTGTAAAGGAGTACATAAAACAGAACTGAAGTAAATAAAGCAAAGGTCCCGGAACATGACTTAGTATTTATATACAAAAATTTACCAAAAAGGAACTATGGCCAACCCAATAATTTCCTTTGGGTTTTTCCTTACAAAAAAGGAAAACCTGAGTGAATGAACTTTGGGGCCAAGCCAATATTAATGAGCATATAAGGCAAATAGCAATACAGTAGAACAAATCCAGTTGATAACCAGTAATTTGTGAAAAGTGAATCTAAAACATTAGTGTAGTGGAACTGAAGACAGAATATTATATTACTCTTTTGACTCTTGAGAGTCCCTTGGACTGCAAGGAGATCAAATCAGTCAATCCTAAAGAAAATAAACCCTGAATATTCATTGGAAGGACTGATACTGAAGCTCCAATACTTTGGCCACCTGATGCGAAAAGCCGACTTATTGGAAAAGACCTTGATTCTGGGGAAGATTGAGGGCAGGAGAAGGGGGTGACAGAGGATGAGATGATTGGATGGCATCACTGACTCAATGAACTTGAGTTTGAGCAAGCTCAGGGAGATAGTGGAGGACAGGGAAGCCTGGTGTGCTACAGTCCATTGGGTCTCGAAGAGTCGGACATGACTGAGCAACTGAACAACAACATTATTCTTTAGACAAGTCCTGATACAATATATAATAAGGTACACACACTTCCTGGCACACCCTGTAGAAATGCAAACTCAGATGTGTACTGAGCTTGGCTACTGGCCCCGACTCTTATGATTCCAAATTCCCAAAGAGGATAGGTTGAAGTTCTCAAGACTGTGGGCTCCATGGTTCCAGGGAGGGACTGGGGAGCTGAGCAGACAGTCAACCCCATGGTGTGGGGAGAAGTTGAGCTGCATCCCTGTGTTGGCTGAATCTCAGGCCCAGTCTCCCCAGCTGGACCCAGAAAGCATGTGTCAACAAACTGGGAGATTCCAAGGATGGAACTGTTATCCCAGGAAGCTCACCCAGCCTCCAGAATTGCAATGCACCCCTTGCATCTTTAACAAGCACAGACAGTCACCATCATGGCCACGAGGTTCAGCCAGGACCACCATGGGTTTAGAAATGAGCAGCTGGATACCTGAAGCTCCGAGCTGGCCAGCTGCCCATCGTCATCCTGGTCTGTTAATCCTCTCAAAACATGACCTTTCATTTCACAAAACTGAAACTTTTGGATTCCATTCATGGCATTCTGGCTGGCCTTCACTGTACATTTTCTTTCTTCGAAAATTCCATTCTATTATAAAAGCAAGGCGTGCAACTTGTAAGAAGGAGCTTCCCTGGTAGCTCAGTGGTAAGCAATCTGCCTGCAATGCAGGAGATTCAGGAGACGCAGGTTCAATCCCTGGATTGGGAAGATCCTCTGGAGGAGGGCACAGCAACCAACTCCAGTATTCTTGTCAGGAGAATCCCATGGACAGAGGAGCCTGTTGGGCTACAGTCCACGGGGTTGCAAAGAATGAGATGCTACTAAAGCACACAAAGAATGAGACGCTACTAAAGGACACATGCACACACGCAGCTTGTAAAATATACATAGGTATACAGCCTTGTGCCATACACATAGGTATACAGCCAAAGCCCCTTCATTCTTAGTCTCCGGAGTTCACTGCTGTTGCTGTGCTGTGCGGTGTATGTTATTTAAAATTTTCTATTTATATATATATGTTCATGGGTAAAAGAAGAAGAGTTTTGTTTGAACGAAATGAACATCCATGTGCTGTAATATTACACATTAAGTGTGTACTAGCTTCCTAGAACTGCAGTAATAAGTTACAAACCAGGGGGCTTCAAACGACAGCAATTTATTCTCTCCCGGTTCTCGAAGCCAGAAGTTCATGATCGAGGTGCCAGCAGGACCACTGGGGAGAAGTCGTTCTGTGTCCCTCTCCTGACGTCCAGGGGCAGTGGGCCCAGGCACTGCTTAGCCTGTGGCTTCATCACTTCTCCTCTGCCTTCCCGTGACTCTCTTCCTTTCGTGTGTGTGTCTGAATTTTCCTCTTCTTATAAGGACTCCTGGTTATTGAATTAGGGCCCAATCTGATCCAGTATGACCTCACCTTTTTGTAGAAAAATCTTTATTGAAATATAGTTGCTTTACAATGTTGTGTACAGCATAGTGAATCAGCTACACATATATAAAACTATATATGCACACACACACATACACATAACTATATATATGCACACACATATATAATTATATATATGCACACACACATATACATAACTATATATATGCACACACATATAGAACTATATATATGCACACACACATATACATAACTATACATATGCACACACACATACATAACTATATATATGCACACACACATACATAATTATATATATGCACACACACATACATAACTATATATATGCACACACATATACATAACTATATATATGCACACACACATACATAACTATATATATGCACACACACATATACATAACTATATATATGCACACACACATACATAACTATATGCACACACATACATAGCTATATATATGCACACACATATACATAACTATATATATGCACACACATATATAACTATATATATGCACACACACATATACATAACTATATATATGCACACACACATACATAACTATATACATGCACACACATACATAACTATATATATGCACACACATATACATAACTATATATATGCACACACATATATAACTATATATATGCACACACATACACATAACTATATATATGCACACACACATATATAATTATATATATGCACACACATATACATAACTATATATATGCACACACATATAACTATATATATGCACACACACATATACATAACTATATATATGCACACACATATACATAACTATATATATGCACACACACATATACATAACTATATATGTGCACACACACACACACACACATATAGATCTCTCTTTTTTGGACTTCTTCCCCATTTAGGTCAGCACAGAGCATTGAGCAGAGTTCCCTGATCTGTAAAAAGTAGGTTCCCACTAGTTATCTATTTTACTAACACACATAATGTCATTAGTGTCTATGTGTTAATTCCAATCTCCCAGTTCATCCCCCCTCCCTTTCATCTTGATCTCCATATGCTTGTTCTCTATGTCTGTGTCTCTGTTTCTGCTTTGCAAATAAGTTCATCTGTACCCTTTCTCTAGATTCCACATATAAATGAGATTATATGTTAGTTTTTCTCTTCCGACTGACTTCACTCTGTGTGACATTGTCTAGGTCCATCCACACCTCTGCAAATGGCACTGTTTTGTTCTGTCTTACAGTTGAGAAATATCCCACTATATACATGTGCCACATCTTCTTTATCCGTTCCTCTGTCAGTGGATGCTCAGGTTGTTTGCATATCTTGACTATTGTACACAGTGCTGCAGTGAACACTGAGGTCTTTTTTGGAATTATGGTTTTCTCCAGGTGTATGCCCAGAAGAGTGTGACTTCACCTTTAACCTCATCTACCTGCTGTGTACCTGAAACTAATACAACATTGCAAATCAACCCCCTTTTAATGTAAAAAGAAAAATTTTTAATGTTTATTATTTATTTGGCTCCACCTGGTCTTAGTTGTGGCAAGTGGGATCTAGTTCCCTGACCAGGGGTTGAACTCTGGCCACCTGCAGAGGGAGCTCAGCATCTCAGCCATTGGGCCACCAGGGACGTCCCCAAAATAAATTAAAAAAAAAAAAACAGATTATTCTTCTTCCACCCACCCACCCCACAGTCAGTGTCTCTGAATCTGCCAGTGTTAACTGTTTCAGCAGTTCATTTACAGCACTGAATACAAGCTCCAGCCTCCCGCGCATCCTGGCCCCCTGCCTCCCCAGCATCTCTTCTGAGGGCCTCGCCTCCCCTTCTCCTCCCAGCTCGTTCCCTCCCCTGGCTCTCTGCTGAGCAGCTATTCCTCTTTCCTCCTGCCTCTTAGGAGGAGCCCTTCCAGGCCCTGTGTCACACCAGCCTCTCGAATCCCACGATCCCATCATTTTCCTGAATTCCTTCCCGGCACTTACCACACTCTGAACATCTTATTTGTTCATTTCTGTGTTTGCTTGTTTATGTTTCATCTCCTCTAATTGTAGGACAACTTACTGGAGAACAAGACTCTGACTTCTTGCAGCTGTGTCCCAGGGGCGCGGCACAAAAGGCTTTTGAGGAAATGTGTAGGATGAATGAACACAGTGGGGTTGTCTGCTTCCCCCTACTCTGTTCTGTTTGTACAGAAAAAAAAAAAAGCGGTTAATTTTTTCTTTACTGGGTGGCCACCTATTTCTTTTGCTTTTAAATACGAATTTTTTAAAACTCTCATAGGGTTTCCCAGGTGCACAATCATATCATATTATCTGCAACTAAGAAACAAATAAAGAAAATGGCAACCCACTCCAGTGTCCTTGCCTGGAGAATCCCAGGGATGGGGTTGCACAGAGTCGGACACCACTGAAGTGACTTAGCAGCAGTAGCAGTAGCAAGAAACAAATTATCTCATTTTCACTACTTGCACCTCTTATTTTGCTATTTTAATTCCTTTGACAAGTGCTTCTGGAAAAATTTTAAATAATATTGGTAATAACAAGTACCCTTGAGCTGGTATTAACTGTAATAAAAATAGTTCTCTTTGGGGTTTTACTGCAAAACACTATAGGCTTCCCAGGTAGCTCTAGTGGTAAAGAATCCACCTGCCAGTGCAGGAGATGCAAGAGATGTGGGTTCAATCCCTGGGTCGGGAAGAGCCCCTGCAGCAGGAAATGGCAACCCTCTCCAGCATTCTTGCCTGAAGGATCGCATGGACTGAGGAACCTGGTGGGCTATAATCCATGGAATCAGAAAAAGTCAGACAAAACTCAGCACTGAGCACCATACTGTGATGCTGACACCAGAATGAATGCGTGTGTATATGTGTGTGTATGTGTGTGTGTGTAGTATGTGTGTATGTGTATGTGTGTGTGTAGTATGTGTGTGTGTATGTGTGTGTGTAGTATGTGTGTGTGTAGTTTGATCGTGTTAAGAAAATATGAATCTAAAGCCATTACATGAAAGTTTTTTAAAACTCAGGATTGGGTATCATTCTTCAGGCATGTTTTAGCATTTATTCAGATCAACAAATGATTGGTGATGAATTTAGTAGGGTGGTGAATTATATTTATTGATTTCTTATCATTGAATTAATACTGAATTTTGGATTGAACTCCATTCGATCTTCCTTTTTTTTTTTTTTTTGCAGTCAATAAGAAATTTACTTGTTTTAAAAAAATCCAAATGCTGGCATTGTCCAGAAAAATTTAACAGGTTTATTTATAATTGTTATAAAGTTGAACTGCTGAAACTTGTTCACTGAAACATTTTGACTTTCATTAATACTTTATGTCCCCGCATTTATATTAAAAATTCACACACAAATGAAAATGGAAAAACTGCCAATACCTGATTTCTGTCCCCTATTTTTCCACTTGCAATCATATACTTAGGTACCTTTTGACCCCATGGAAAAAAAATATCTAACATTCAGAACTACCAATAACAGGAAGAAGAGAATTTTTTTTTTTTAAAAGAATGAAATGGGCTAATTCATTTCAATGTATGACAAAAACCACTACAATGATGTAAAGTAATTAGCCTCCAACTAATAAAAATAAATGAAAAAAAAAAAAAAGAATGAAATGTTTCCGATCATAGTGGATTCTTAAGCACGTTCTCCACGTATGTGGCGTGCTAGCTGGATGTCTTTTGGCATAATTGTTACACGTTTGGCATGGATAGCACACAGGTTGGTGTCTTCAAAAAGGCCAACCAGATAGGCCTCACTTGCCTCCTGCAAAGCACCGATAGCTGCGCTCTGGAAGCGCAGGTCTGTTTTGAAGTCCTGAGCAATTTCTCGCACCAGACGCTGGAAGGGAAGTTTGCGGATCAGAAGTTCAGTGGACTTCTGATAACGTCTAATTTCACGGAGTGCCACAGTACCAGGCCTGTAACGATGAGGTTTCTGTAATAAAGTTTTATTAAAGTGTAAAGGAGATAGAGAAAGCTTCTGACATAGGCATCAGAAGGGGGCAAAAGAGTACCCTCGATCTTCCTTTTAATACGCTGCCATCTCTCTTTGCTAATACTTCATTCAGGATCTTTAGAGCGATACACACGAGTGCCTGGCCGCCTAAGCAGTTATGCACATTTTGTTCCTGGGCTAGGGCTGTCATGAATGAACACACTTTGGAACAAGGTCATCTCTAGAAGTGAATCTGAGAGAGAGAAGAGGAAAAACAATTCAGAACTCTTATCATCATACAAGTTTATGATATGGCAAAAAAAATTGATGCTTTTGTAGAAATAGCTAAAGTTCAACCATAGTTGATAAAATGCCCCATGGAACTCATATATTTATTCAGAACATGGCTACGGATTTGAGGGTTCGGAGAGGGTGCAATCATTCTTCAACTAAAGACAGAATTGTAGATGGGAGACTGGAATGACCTCCTAAGAGCATGTGACCACCCTGTCTGAGAAGAAAGGAGCAGCTAACGAACCCACTGGCACAGCAGTCCTCAGGGATGACCTGGGTCCACTGTGACCACATGATCTTCTCTGAGTTTATGGCAGTTTACAAGAAGAGTAGCAGCTGAGATAGTCTCCAATCCAGCAAAAATAAGAAGGATTTCCCTTTCTTCAGCACTCAGGTTGACCTAAATCCTATCGAAATATGGTTCCACTAAAGATTTCCCAACTGTCTCCAGCAAAAAATGGTAAGAACCAACCCTTAGCGTAAGCAGTGCATCAGTTCAGTTCAGTCGCCCAGTCGTGTCCAACTCTTTGCGACCCCACGGACTACAGCACGCCAGGCTCCCCTGTCCATCCCAACTCCCAGAGCTTACTCAAACTCATGTCCATCAAGTTGGTGACGTCATCCAACCATCTTATCCTCTGCCATCCCCTTCTCCTCCTGCCTTCAATCTTTCCCAGCATCAGGATCTTTTCCAAAGCACTGCATGGAGACATCAATTCTGCTAAAGCATTTAACTTATTTCATGATGCCTAGTTCATTACAGCCTGCTGATAATACTAGAAAATATTTTGTTTGACAGTTTGAACATCAGTATAGCCTTTAAAACATTCTTTTTTCTTCCTTTCTTCCTCTTTCTTTTTTAAGTACTTGCACATCAAAAAGGGGAGCTTCCCTGATAGTTCAGTGGTAAAACAAAACAAAACAAAAACCTTCCTGCCGATGCAGGAGATGCAGGTTTGAAACCTAGGTTGGGAAGATCCCCTGGAGAAGGAAATGGAAACCCACTCCAGTATTCTTGCCTGAGAAATCCCTTGGATGGAGGAGACTAGTGAGCTAAAGTCCATTGAGTCACAAAAGACTTAGACACAACTTTTAGTCAACAATTTATATAAAAATTCCTGGAGAACCAGATGTGTAATGAAAAATCTCAAAATACCAGGTTTCACATGTGATACTAATATTTGGAGGAAGAAAATGACACTAGAAATTATTTAGTTACTCTGAAATCTGGTGCTTTTGGAAAAAACAGAATTCATCCCGTGACACCGTGTTCTTACATTTTCGGCACAACTATTGTGGGAGGTTGGCCCAGGCTCCTGCCTTCCACCTGAGAAAGAATTCCCAAGCTGCCTTCTTTGGGGGGAATTTGTCCATGGTCCCAACTGCCCAGAGGGTCCCCTGAGAATCTGGGCAGGATCCAAGGGGTCACGGGGGGGATGACACACCCATGTCAACCTGGGACACAGAGGGAAGACCTGTTGAGGGCTGTGTGAGTCACTTCAAGAGTCTGGTGTCAGACTCGCCTAGTGACACAGTGGATAAGAAGCCACCTGCCCGTGCAGGGGACACGGGTTGGATCCCTGCTCCAGGAAGATCCCAAGGGCCTTGGAGCAGCTAAGCCTGTGTGCCACAACTGCTGAAGCTCTCTCCTCTAAAGCCTGTCCTCAACAAGAGAAGGCTCTGCAATGAGAAGTTCACACACTGCAACAAGGAGTAGCCCCTGCTCCCCAAAACTAGAGAAAGCCCAAGTGCAGCAACGAAGACCCAGTGCACCAAAACTAAGTAAATAATAATTTAAAAAATATGTCAGAAAAAGAATCTGGTGTCAGGGTCCCACCACACCTGCCGAGCTGCTTTCCCCAGGCCAGCCCCTGCACGGGCCACCCAGCCCCCCAGCAGCCACAGTTCAGCTCCCATTTTGACATGAAGCCATTTAAATGGAAATCCAGTTTTACAAAGTGCGAGTGACTGGTAACGAAGACGTGAATGATGCTTATGAGAATTTTATTTAATTTTAAATCAATTGTGTATTCTAATTCATTAATAAAGGGAAGAACAAAGACAACAGGAGTACTTAATCTCAAGTCATTACTCAACAAGGAGGGAGTACATCTTCATATGAAATTCTTGGGGAAATGGTCAATTTCCCGTTTTCCCTGAAAAATCTATTTTTATGGAAGAATTTGGGCCCAGCTCATTCTGTAAAAATTAGATTTGACTTTATCTGATGTTATATAAACAAGAAAAAAAGGTCCAACCAAGTGCTGGACTGAGTTTTTTACCATCCATTTTTGTTATTGCAAGATGGACTAAAAATGACATTATTTGCAACAAAAGACTTCTTATTGGTAACAATAAAGTATCTGAAGAAAACATGATAGTCCTTAAGATAGAACTAAAGGTCAAAAATGTGCCCTAGGGCACTTATCTGTTAGTTCAGTGGTTAAGACGCTGAGATGCCACTGCAGGGGATATGGGTTCAATTCCTGGTCAGGGAACTAAGATCCTGCATGCTGCATGGCGCAGCCAAAAATCAAGAAAAGCATTTAAAAAAATAAAAAATAAAAGTGTGCTCTAATGGAGAGATTTGGAAATTCTTGAGGGCGCTGAGGCTCTTGTCTTCCTTGGGGTGTTCGGCTTTCTTTGGGGGTCACATCAAGGTCAAGCCTGGACAGTGATAACTCTTGTAGCTTTCTCTGGCTTCCCTAAGACATAGAAGAATGAAATCCCTACAAATAGTCTCTTCTCTTGGACTTCCTGGGTGGCGCTAGCGGTAAAGAATCTGCCTCAGTGCAGGCGACGCAAGAGACTCGGGTTTGATCCCTAGTTCGGGAAGATCCCCCGGAGGAGGGCATGGCAACCCACTCCAGTGTTCTTGCCTGGGAAATCCCATGGACAGAGGAGCCTGGCGGGCTACAGTCCATGGGGTCACAAAACTCCTGGACACGGCTGAGGTGACCGAGCGCGCCTGCCCACTCCTGGTTTAACTTGGTCCAGAGGCACTGCAGGCCTGAGGGCTGAGCGGTGTGTGGCCCGGGTCACGCCTGCCAAGTCACAGGGCGGAATGTAAACGTCAGGCCGCCCCCCGCCTCCAGGGCGATGCACACTGCCCGCAGGGTAGGTACGGATTGATGTCAGTGTCCCTCTGCTTCTGAGTTGTGTGACCGTCCCCCTGTCAAGACCACCGTCCCCTGGCAGGCTATACTGGATGTGCTCTGGACGGAAGACTCTGGAACGTATTCAAGCATTACTCATCTTTGGGAGTTATTTTCACCCAATAAATTTTAGTATGTGAATTATGACTCCCAAGATTCATGGTTTTATTTCATCTTCCTCAACTGAAGAGTGGAAAAAGTAGTGGGGGTCAGTGGGTGGGTGACCTTCCAAAGGATTTCCAGCATCTCAAAGGCTACAATTCAGGTAAAGCTTCACCTGACCCCTGTCCTCCAGCCCATAGACCAGAGGTGCGTGCTTTGTAAAGAGCAGAGTGGGCTAGTAGGGTTTTTAAAGAATTGAGTCCCCAGCTGCTATTAACGCCACTGTCACTTTTCTCCAGTCTATTAGAGCTTGGAAAGCACCGTGAGAACATGTAGGCTGCCAGCTCTGAAGTAGTCACTCGGTCCAGGAATTAAAACGCTGGAGCTCTGCTTGCTGCAGGGTGTAGGACAGAAAGGAGTGTTTTAGCAAAATATATGTGAATAATGTTGACTTACCAGAGTCTCAGTGAGAGCTCTGATTATCAGCACTCCTATTTTTTAAAACTCTTAATAGAGGTATTTATAATATACATACAGAAAAGACACACATATGTGTCCTAAGCACACAGCTTGATAACTTTTCACGTTATTTTATTCTTGTCATTTGGATTAACAGATCTTTATATACTGCCTGGTGCTGGGAAAGATGGAGTGCAGGAGGAAAAGAGGATGACAGAGCATGAGATGATTGGATGGCATCACCGATTCCATGGGCATGAGTTTGAGCAAACTCTGGGAGATAGTGAGGAACAGGGAAGCCTGGCATGCTGCAGTCCATGGGGTCTCAAAGAGTCAGACAAAACTTAGTGACTTGCTCCTTGGAAGAAAAGCTATGACCAACCTAGACAGCATATTAAAAAGCAGAGACATTACTTTGCCAACAAAGGTCTGTCTAGTCAAAGTTGTGGTTTTTCCAGTGGTCATATGGATGTGAGAGTTGGACTATAAAGAAAGCTGAGCACCAAAGACTTGATGCTTTTGAACTGTGGGGTTGGAGAAGACTCTTGAGAGTCCCTTGGACTGCAAGGAGATCCAACCAGTCCATCCTAAAGGAAATCAGTCCTAAATATTCATTAGAAGGACTGATGCTGAAGCTGAAACTCCAATACTTTGGCCACCTGATGTGAAGAGCTGACTCATTTGAAAAGACCCTGATGCTGGGAAAGATTGAGGGCAGGAGGAGAAGGCAACGACAGAGGATGAGATGATTGGATGGCATCACCGATGTGATGGACATGAGTTTATGTAGATTCCAGGTGTTGGTAATGGACAGGAAAGCCTAGCGTGCTACAGTCCAGTCCATGGGGTCACAAAGAGTTGGACGAGACTGAGCAAATGAACTGAACTGAAACAAAAATACTTCAAATATAAACAGGTCTAAGCATGTTTCAATGATCTTTAATTAAAATGGGAAAAAAGTGTCCAGATATACAGAACCTCCTTCTTTGAATGGAGTCTCACTGACAATGAATGTCCAGTTTTTGAAACCAATGTGCTGTGTTGTGCTAAGTTGCTTCAGTCGTGTCCAGCTTTTTGCGACCCCATGGACTGTAGCCCAAAGTCCTCCTCTGTCCACGTATTTTCCAGGCATGAATACTGGAGAAGGTTGGCATGCCTTCCTCCAGGCGATCTTCCCGACCCAAGGACTGAACCCACGTCTCTTACATCTCCTGCATTGGCAGGTGGGTTCTTTACCACTAGTGTCACCTGGAACCCTATATAGGATGCAGAAATGGCAGCTAGATTGTCTTCTGTCCCCCACACATCTCAGTGAGAGTGTCCCTCACACTTTCCTTCCAGCTCTTCTGTCGAGGCTGCATACTTATTTATCCTCCCTGCATATGTTCTTGGGATAGTTCTGTTTAGTAGGAAAGCCATTTCATTGAGCTTCTGTTTTATTAGATTTGTCAGACAACAGAATACTGGCCAGAATTTGTGAATCTGTTACCACGGCTCTGTCCAAATACAACTCAGGGAAGCTGTTTCCCGACACATTCTAGGGTTCAGAGTTGGAACAGGTGTTAATCCACTTGTTGACTCCACAGAGGGCCACTGATGGATGCTAAATCTCAGGGCTGCTGTTCTGTGTTATTTACATTTTTGAGAAACCTTCTCTACTCCTCGTCCCAGCTCCTCTGCTGGGTTGATTCCTGATGGGAGTGGATCACTGCTTCTCGAACATTAGAAACTTATACTGAGGACTTCCCTGGTGGTCCAGTAGATAAGAATCCACCTGCCAACGTAGGAGACACGGGTTCCATCCTTGGTCCGGGAAGATCCCACAAGCCATGGAGCCATGAAGCCTGTGCAACACATCTACCAACTCTGTGCTCTAGAGCCCGTAGTGTGCAATAAGAGACGTCACCGCAAAGAGAAGCCTGCACACCACAACTAGAGAACAGCCCCACTTGCCACAACTAGAGAAAAAACTCATGCATCAGCGAAGACCCAGCGCAATCAAAAACTAACTAAATAAGTAAATAATTTTAAAAAGAAGAGGTTTATATCAAGAAGTTGAAAGGAGAAAGAATGAAGGAATAAAACTTCTTTTTCATGAGTAAAAGCTAGAGTGAAAATTCCCATTCTTTACATGACTTCTGGGTCTGATGTTTTTGGAGAATTGTCTCTCAAATCACACTAGGGACCAGAGATGCCAGCGTGAGCCTGGGCTGTGTGTACGGTGAGTGTTCGAGTGTATCTGGAGATGTCTGGTGATGGGAAGACAGGTTGGGGAAAGCCAAGCTGAGGGTAGACTCGGCTGCAGCTGATTGAGAAGGCCGGGGGAGGGGGGAGCTGTGGCCTGAAATTCCCTGGAGAGGGAGCTGGAAAGGGAGGAGAAAATACTAGTCCATCTCTCTCCTCATCTCCCGCCAAGACCAGATCCAAACCCTGACCATGCTGCCAGCAGCACAAGCCACAAATGGGGAGAGACCCCCGGAGACACAGGGCCAGGTGACAAAGGTGACAGTGACTATGGGGAGGGGACAGACTGCAAGCCTCTCTGTGGAGCCCTGAGCCCCTGGGGCACGGGAGGCACTCACACCACCAGAGCCCATGGGGGTAGCTAACACGGCTGGACCAGCAATGGGCAAAGGGCAATGGACATGGCTGAGCATCAGGGTCACCCAGGAGGTCAGCCAGCCTCAGGACCAACGTGACACAAGCTGAGGACTTGCATAAATGCAGAGGCCAGATGGAAATCTGATTTATTTTCAGCAAATAAATCCCTACCAGGATTCACTCTCTGAGAAAACTGAGAGCAGGTTGAGTTAATTAAATAATAATTCATTCATTTTGCAAATGGAGTTCGTTCCCTGGTAGCTCAGATGGTAAAGAATCTGCCTGCCATGCAGGAGATCCAAGTCTGATCCCTGGGTCAGGCAGATTCCCTGGAGAAAGAAATGGCAACCCATTCCAGCATGCTTGCCTGGAGAATCCCATGGACAGAGGAGCCTGGTGGGCTACTCAGTCCACGGGGTTGCAAAGAGTTGGACATGACTGGCCAACTAACACTTTCTCCTTTTTGTTTTCACTAGTGTTGAGAGAATGCCCTGTCTGGGGGAGCAGACTGTGGCCCTGCCTTCAAGCCAGCGGGGCCCAGGCTCATCTCTGTGAACTAATCAGAGATAGTACAGAGGTCAAAGCAACGTCAGGGCTATA